TCATAAAGACTATAGATATTAAAATTTTTTAATGCAGAATGGCCATAATTTACAGCTTCAGAAAACAATACAAAAATCAGAATTGAAATATTTTAATGCGATTTTTTTCATGTGAATCATAAATTCTCAGTTTTTACACTAATAATTCTTTCGTCAACGTGGTACTCAACTCATATTGAAAATTTTCATATGGTTTTTTTTTACAGGTAAAAAACCGCATGAAACTGTTTCAATTTCTGATTTTTATATTGATGTTTGGTATTATGAATACAATTTATGGTCACTTTTACTGTATGAATGTATTAAGTAATCTTTAATACACCCATATAGTAAAAGTGACCATAAATTATCCATACAGCTTAAAATTTTTCTTAAATTTAGGATTTTATGAAGATAAAATATTTTTAGAAGGAAAAACAATGTTGAAAATGTAAGAAAAATATTGCCATGAAGAATTTAAACAAGACAAAATTCTTAAGGTTTAAGTCCTATACAAGACTTACAAACCAAATTTGAGAAAAAAAGTGGACTGATTGGATGTACTAAAGTAGATACACGGTATATTTTTCTTATTATGATCTCGAAGAGAGTATTAATCATTTGTTTGACAAAATAATTAAACAAAATTGTTCACTAAGTAGTTCGTTAGCATTTGACAAATGACCAAGTATGACCCAAGACAATGGACATTAATTGGAACAAGCCAAATGACCTTGAATGTCAAGGAACTGTAACAAGAGTCTATTGTTACGTGAAGGTCTATCAGTTTATTCGGTCCACGGGATTAAGACAAATGTTCCGTTTGTCTATCCGTAGTTCTCTATATATAAATAAATCTTTTAAAAGAATATTTTTACGCTGTTTTAATAATAAAACTGTCTGGAAATCCCATAACGAAACTGATTTTGTTCAATGAATACGGAAAAAGGGGGAGAAATATAGTACAATCTTCACTCTCACGAATATGTTCGAGTTCTAAATCGAGTATATTCAATGTTTTAACAAGTGAATAACAGTTTAGTAATCGGGGAGCATCGGAACTCATATTGTGCCACTACAACAGAGTAAAGAGGGGGAGAGAAACACAAGCAAAGTGTGGGAAATGGTTTCTATAACGGAAGATCGTGCATGACCCCGTTGTTTCCTGGACATTGTGGGAAGACTGTTATTCCAAAGCGTGATTCTTCACTCCCTATACAACTTTCGGTAACTTGCACGACTACATTTTTTTGTTTTATCCACCCTCTCTCGCTTCTCTTCTTTCATTTATTCATGTGTTTTCGAACAGGATATGCGCTTATTTTGTAACGTAAACTAACAAAAGAGGTGCATTCACTCTTCTCTTTTTTACTTTTTTTTTAGCATTTAAACAATAAAAATTAAACGATTTCCTCAATAACTTCTAAAATTGTGGAAATTACAACATTTGACTAATCTGACCATGAACTATTTCCTCGTTCTTTTACATTGGATAGCGTGAAGTTAGTCATCTTTCTGGAAAATTTAAGATTTCCTTCAAGGATTTAAGGTTAATCAGATGTTCTAGTATCCTTTCTGGATTTATTAAACTCACATTGCAAGGTAAGAGACTAACCCATTCGTGTTCAAGAAGCGAAATCGTGAAGCAGCAAACTGTTTAGTTAAAACATGTACTGTACACTCGATTTTTAAAAGATCGAGTGGTCTATAATTGTAACTAGGTTCATTTATGCACTCGATAAATGGTTTAACAAAAATATCCATCGAGTTTAAGTGCCCTCACATAAATGTTTACAAATGATGTAACAGCTAAAATAGTAAAACTAGTTTTCTAGTTTTGTAATTTAATGAGTCAGCACGAAGGGGGTATGTTGAGAAGGAAACTGCAATTTTTTTTAAAATTTAAATGGGTTCTGATATCGGAAAAATACGAATTCACTTGAGGGAATTAAGAAAAAAGAAAGAAAAGAAAACAAATGGAAATTGGAATGAAAGTAACAAGAAACAAAGTTTCAGGAAGAAATGACAAAAGAAAACAAAGTTTAAACAGGAAAAAAATAAGGAAGACATACTAGAAATTTAATAAAAATCCTTAACCTTGTCCTTTACAATGAAGATATTATCAAGGTCGGTGGGCCAAGTAGCCTACATCAAACATCTTGGAATCGTCTTCAAAAGCAAGTGGCTAATTAATGATTATTTATTGCCCTTCCTGAAATTTATTTATTCTTAGTTTTTTTTTTTTTTTATTTCTTCTAATAGGAATTTATATAGTATTTATTTTTAATAGTTTCTACATTGAAGTAACAACAGTCTGCTCATGACGAGATGACCCTTATAGTCTTCAAGCCATTTTGCAAGTGCTGAACTTTTTGGATGACCACGTTTTTTTAGGGTACTTAGAGTTTTAAACCTGTTTAAGGAACATACTTTTACAGACTCAATTGGTTGATTAGTTGATCTAAATCTTATATATTTTTGTCTCTTTAGAGAAAATCCTGCAAGCGCCTTTGCTTCGAAAGTAACACTTCAACTTTTCCTAAATAAAGAATAAAACAAAATATGATTGAACTCTTAAACTTGTTCTGCAGGATTTAAGAATATTTCCTGTATTAAATAACGCAGAAAATATGCTAAAATTAATAAAATAAAACAATTGACTGACCCTATTCTAACGCAACTCAGCAGAATTCAAAGTAAGTGAAGGGGATCCACCCAATTTCTGACCATTTAACTAGGGGTTTTGTTAGCGCATTTCTTACGTTATATAAGTCACGAAAGACTTTGGAATTTTTAAATTTCCATAAATAAATTTATGAAGTAATAGACATGGAAAGACACTTTCACTAGTCACGCTCACATTAAATTCACATTAATGTTGCTCTTCCCTTTGAAGCGTGAAGAGATTTATGGTTCTCTCCTTTTCTTCTCGAGTATTTAGCTTAAAAAATGCAACAAACACATTTCCATTTTTCTAAATTATCGTTTATTCGCATTCGATAAACAAATCAATGACTTTCGTAAATTAAAGAAAATTAAAATCCGTGAAATGAAGATCCTTTACAAGGTATTCCTTACAAGAAGTTCTATATCTTCTAAAGATAATTTATGTTAACACACAAATAATCGAAATGCCCCAGATGTATTTAAGAAAAAATAATCTTGAAAAATAGTTGTTTGTTTTAGAAACATAATAAAATCAATCATGGCATATCATAGACATTTATAACATAGATAACCCGTGCTAGACTATATCATAAATATGTCTGATACATTATTCATAGCATATCGCAAACACACTCCTAACGTATAGAGTTATAGACTATTCATAAAACACCGCAGACTACACACAAAATATCATACACAATTCATAGCACATCATAACACCATTGAAGATATCTTAGACCATTAAATATAAGGTCATTCATAGTATATCATAAACCACTCATATCATAGATCATGCATAAAACATCATATGCTACAGCTACACATAACTTTATAACACATCATAGACGGCATATAAGACATCATTAGAGCTACTACATCTAGGCACTAAAATCACATAGTTATAAAAATCATACAAGTTATCATTTATGTAACATATGATTTTTACTGCCTAGATGTCCTAGCCTTAGGCATTATACACCATTCATAAAATGTCATAAAGCATTACAGATTACATATAAGACGTGCTATGAATGGTCTATGTTCATAAGCCATTTATAAAATATTAAATTATTATAAGACATCACAGATCGTTTATAAGCATCTTGTGTCATTCATAATACATACTCAACTTTCTAACGAAGCATACAAAAGGTACAAAACAATATCCTACAATTTTTAGGGACAGTCTACCTTACTAAGCTTAAGGTTAAAGGCGGAAAATATTCTAGAAAAACCTATCTAGCTGATTTATAGTTTAAAAGATAATAGAGCTACAACAAAGAGAAGAAAAGAATCTTCTACTCGAGTATTTTTTATTTTTTTTACACATTTGCAGCATACGAGACAACGGAAACAACAACAGATGTCAATAGAAAAACACCTGCGAATTAACCATAACTAAGCAATTGGCAAATCTCATTAAAAAGTCAGAAAGACACGAACGATCGACAGCACTTCATCCTTCGACTAGATTACTAAAAAATTAATTTTGTACAAGTACCGTGCGTAAGGAGCTCTATAATCATCAAATTTTATGATTTTTATCGAATAATTGAAGAGAAAAGTACACTTAGGCTATATAATGAATATTTGAAGAAGTAGATAAAAAAATTACTTTATGAGATATATGTACAGCTGCAACGTGTATCTAGCAATAAAAATTCCTTTGTTTATAAAATTACATTATTTACAATGGGATTTTTCCTTTAACCATTGTTTTTCAAGGTTAAATATCTTTAATTCTTTATAAAGCTACGCGATATCGAACGAATATATCATTTAAAGATTTAATTTTCTTATCAAAATTCTTGTAAACCCATAAACTTAAGCGTTACTTTGACACGTTCGTACTTACAAAGTACACCTGATATATAAACATCATGAAAATTAATTTAAAAATCAAGAAAATTAGGAATATCCTATCTTCTAAAAAACTCATTTTAGTTTTTCGTTTACTTATTTAATTAACGGACCGTCCGTCCGTAACGCAATTCATTTTAATTAATACAAATTGAACTTTTGTTATAATTAAGATCGAAACTGGACCATTTTCTCATATAAAACTGGTTCTATAAAAATTAATTTTATTTATTCAATATAGTTTTTAAAGGAAGTTTAGAGGATTTTTTTAAAAGGTTCAAGGGTATTTTTTGGGGAATTTTGAGTTTATTTTTCTGATCGATTATTATTATCGAAGACTTTGGAGTTAATTTAAATTTATAAGGAATTGTTTCTTAGAATAAATGTGATAATGTTACCGCACTTTGTTCGATTACATTCTTGAATTTTTAAAAAATACAACCCGTATTTTTAGATTAATAATAATTGAGTTTCCTCTTTCAAAATTCGGATAATTTAGAACCTTTAACTGCAGTCAATTCTTTTATTTATTTATTTATTTTTTGTTATTTTATGCCTCACTTAATCTTTCAAGTTCCTCGTTACGTTATCCTTCTTAAGATCTCAACCCTAAATACGCAATTCACCCCCATTTCTGAAGAATTTAATACGGATTTATTTAAATTTCAAACTGAGTTTTCGCAGAATTTCAAGCATTTTAAATGTAACGATTTCGGAAGCTCATCCTAGTTAAAGCTCCATTTAAAAAACTGAAAAATAAAATATAAAGAGTAGGGAGAGAAAAATCCTATTGTGACGTCGCCAGTCAATGACACTACCGGTGTGACGTCACAAAGACACTTTTCCAATTGGTTCTCGCCATTGAAAACACCGGAAACTGGACGGGATAGACAGGTGGTCGACCATCTGTTACTGCCACGTCGAGTGCGCCCAACCATGTGCTACCTGGCGCACAAACGGGGAAGGTGAGTTCGTCAGTACAGTCATGTCCGTCCCGTGGGATAGGTGCGGTGTAACTCCGGAGGACTTATTCAACTGGGAGAGTGTTGCCAACTCGGGTGATGCGTTCGTTCACACCGCTGTGGACAAGTCCGACGAGAATTTACTCTTACTTTACGTACAGAACAATCGCCCCGATTTGTTACAAAACGGGCAAATGTACCTGGAGACGATCGTCGAGGAAAATTCAGACGATCTAAAAAGTATTAGCGAAGAAGAATCGTTGGGATGGGGTTCATGGGATGACGATTCGGCCTCCGAAGACGATCGCATTACTGTTGTGGAAGTTGGATCGAAGGCCGACGAGGTAGGTGTGCAATCCGTTCGCACGGATGAAGATCTATTAGTTCCGCCGTCCTGCCAGGGTTCAAAGGTCGAAGAGTGGATTGATCGTTGGATAGACAGTGTTTGCCACGAGATATTAGAGAGTTGCGCTGATAAGGAGGCGCAGAGCAAAATGGCCGATCGTTTTATGGATACGCCCGCCGCTATAGTTAATACGGTCAAAGACGTACTCAATATTTCTGAAGTCACCAACGAATTCTGTATGTTTGGCACCCCCTTATCCAGTCCAAGCAATAGTGAGTTTTGGTATACCAATTTCGATTCAAACTACCAACTAAAGCGCAATACGGACGCATCTAACTTGTGTAGTGCCGAAAAACAGACTCTTAATCCCTTTCAAACCGATTCTAGAACTTTTACACTTAGTTATAATGAAGAAACACAACTTCTAGATGGTTCCTCGTCCAACTGCGAAAGGTTTATTGCAAATAAATTACCAGAAGAGCCACAAATAGGATTCACAGTGGATTCAACTCCCGACGAGATCAGCACGTCTTTCGGTGTGTCATATCAAAACTTTAAACAGAAACAGGAAATTGAAACATCCAATTTTGAGGATCCTAAATGTAAGTTTAATAATATCAATACAATAGAATCAGAGTTTAAATCTGATGAATCTACTTTTAATAATTCAAGTAATGAATACGATAAAATCGAAGTTCCTTTGGATGTTTTTCACGATCTGTTCACGTTTGAGAACCACAAACACGAAAATAACACGGATTATGTTCCTGAAGATTCAGAAATTAATGATTCTTCCGTTAGTATAAAAACTATGGTGTTAGATTCAGATAATTTAACCGATTTAGACGCAGATAAATCAAATTTAGGAGAATTTAATGAAAAAAGTGACAATGAAAATATGTGGGAAAATCCGCAATCTTGTCAGTTTATAGATTCGTTTAAGTTAATCGATAATATACCAAAACCGGAACCAAGGATACAACCATCCATGGAATCGCTACAGATCACTAATGCTTCTGAAGACATCTTTTACTTAAAATTTGAGAAATTTCACGAAGATTTTAATGGAACTGAAAACGGTAAGGAAATTTTAACAATTTCAGAAGAATCTTTATTAGAATCCAAATTGGATGACATAGTTTATATGTCAACAAAAACGATCGAAAATAATGAACCCATAATCAATCCTGCAATTTTAGATTTTCAGGATTTGTTTAAGGAATTTAATAATGATTCGTTTTCAATTATGAATGGTGGTGGTTTAAGTAAAAAAGATGACTCTATATTTCCTCCGGATTCACATGCGAACCACTTGACAGATGAAATAGCATTTTCAAATCTCTCCTATTCACAGGATAAAACTCAGGATTCTTTCAACGATTTAAGTTCGAAAGAAACTAAAGATTTGTTTAAAGATTTCTATCAATTTGAGAATATATTTTCCAATGATGATTTTGAATCAAAGAATGAGAGTTGTCAAATTTTAAATCTAGAAAGGAGAGAAGTGGACGATAGTCAAATGGATCCTGGTTTAGATAATAAATTTGTATGTTTAAATCCCGAAATTCAGGATGAAAATGTCGAAAGTGTAAGCGAAAATTCAACAGATAAGGCAGATAATTATTACGAAAATGTGTTTAACTCTTTAGATAGTGCAAATTTAAATCATAAGGAGTCTTTTCATTGCGAAAATTTATTTGACAGTGAAGATCAAGAATCAAATTCAGAAATGATAGATTTAAAAGATGATTCTAAGGAATTAAACACGGCAAATAACGAATTCAAAGCAGATATATCGGATATAATGTGTTATGACAGAAATTCAATCCCGGATCCTGGAGGGAAAGAGCCAGATTCAGAATGGAAAAACCAGAACACTGAAGAATTTCACTGTTCAGACAATGATATGTTATACGTTGACAAGTCAAACAAAAATGAAGACGACCTCGTTCCGAGAAGTGTAACCAGAATATCAGGATTAACAGCAGAGGCCCTCGACGCCCTAGACGATTCGGGATACGTGGAAGAAAGTAGCGGAAGTGAAGACGGAAATCAACCTCTTCAACTTCTTGGTGGGCTAGTGGCGCCATCTGTCAAAGAGAATCTCAACCTATCCGAGGAAAACCAACCTCTGGGGGGTGTGCCTCCACAAAATTATGCACACGATCGTACTTGGGTAACAAACGCTGAATCACCGATTGTGGGCGAAGCTGCCTCGTCAATTTACAACTTCGACACCCGATCCTGGTTAGGAAATCGACACGACAACACCGAAAACGATGGGCAGCGATACGACGATCGTGTGGCACGTTCTACCCCCGACATCACACGCACCCTGTCGACGTCGGAAGACGGGTCAAGGTTCAGTCGGGCGTTAGCGGGCGTTTTAACTTACGCCGGGGCCAGAAGTACGCCCGATCTTACTAAAGTGGGTCCTCCGCTCGCAGCACTCTTTGGTAAAAGTGTCAACGAGCGAATACGCGACTACTTGAACAAGACTCGACAGACGAAACCTGAACGGAACTTGGCACATCATAGACGTCTGTGTGTTTCGGCCGCTAGCGTTATCGAAAAAGCGGCGAAATTCGAGGCTAAAGGTCACTACGGGTTACAGAAGATCGGAATGCAAGAAAACAAGCCGACTGCGGCCGTAAGGCCAACAGTCTTTAGGGTAACTAGCAAACCACCTTTACCTATTTCCAGCCGAGTCAAGTTGACCAACGCCAGGAGGGAATTTTTCGAAAACTTGAACGTCGGGCAGCAACCTCGTAACGATAAACGCTTCGAGACATTCCGTGAGGAAACCAAGAAGGACAGAGCCAGATTGGCATCGAGCACACCCGATCTGGCAGGTTTCGTAACGGCGCCTGTGCGGAAATTTGTCGATCGATGCGAAAGCTGTGATGCGGCAACGCAACCGAAAACCAACGCTAGTCCGTATCGTCGTTGTACTGGTGACATCGTTTGGAGTTCGTATACCGATTACCTGCATCGGCAGAAGAGGAATCGAATCCCAGAAACTAATACTTATCTTGAAACTGATCTAGATACACTGGTGAGTAGAGAAGTGAGTGAGACTAATATTGATTCTAATACCAAACACAAAGCTATCAGCATGCTAGCCTTAGACAGTCCGAGCCCTCAACCCCCTGCAATTGAAGATGGTACCAGGGCGAGGAGTATGGATTTCTTACTTGAAGATGATAACAGGGCTGCAGTTCTGGCACCAGAGAATACCCTTTCTAATAGAGTTAAATCTGAAAGGGAACTGAGAATAGAAAGATCACTGCAGAATCTGACTGTGCCTGACTGGTACAAGCAATCTGAATGGAGCAGGAAGCCAAAAGAAGGTTTTTTGCTTAAGAAAGAATCTGACAGACATGGTTGGAAAGCTTCTGGTTCCAGAACTCCTTCTGTTTCTAGTTTGACTGCAGGAACTCCTAGAAAATATTCTACTGATTGGAGGAATGTTGCTTCGTTACGCTCCTCCAGAGAAAGTCTACCCACTGGAAGTTCGTGCTCTCTGTCGCCGAGGGAGCAGGGCACTTTTCATTATGGTCTGAGCCGGTGGAGCAGTAGCAGATTATCGACCGGTAGTGTACCTTCTACCACAGCGAGTAGTCAACCTTCTTGGAATGCTTACCGCTCTTTCCGACAACCGTATCTGGGATGGAGGGCCGCAGCTACTGCGGCTCAGAGTCCGGGTAGTGGTTCTCTTTCCCCGGCGCCTCACAGTCCTCTTTATGCTAGGTATAGTCCTACTTCCCCTCGTCTGGAAAGTTCAGACGGGGGTGATAGAAGACACGATTCATATCCAGCTAATGGCACGTTCTTTGCAAACGTGTCCGAAATAGCTGGCCATCACGACATACATGAGAGACCTCTTGCTTTCTGTAGGGACAGGTATTCTTACATACAAAGTGTTTACAATAGTGAGTTATCATGGGATGCCAGTCAGCATGAAGCACAAGACACACAGCAGCAGACTCCTGACACTTCTCCCCAGAGATCTAAAATGGTGTGGATGGAATCCTCTTTTGTGGGTCAGAAGTCAAGTGGCCAACATGAACCTCCAAAGCATCACCTTCATCCTAAAGAACCCTTGGGTGAGTATGTCATCCGTGACTTTCGTAGATATGGAATTACCTTATGATCTTACTATGCTGAAATCTTGTGTTCTGTTTTGCAAAAATACATTCCGAATATCTTTTGTTATAAAAAAAACTTGTTTATTTGTAACATTAAATGTTTGTACTAAAATTTTTTTGTTTGTTCTGTTTGTCTTGTTTTGTTTGCTTTATTTTAGTTTTATTTTTAATTAAGTAAAATTAAATCTACAAACCATAAAAACAAACTAAAACATTTAATAAAAAGTTATATACATTTAAAATTAAAAATTTGCATTAGTCATTATTCTTAAAAACAATCAAGCAATTTGATTTCAAAACTGAAGATAAACTATCATTGTGAAATTGAAATTCATTCTTAAAAATTTTATCTCCATTAAAATTAATTATATATACAATGTATATTTTTGTTTTTTAAATATTTAAACAATTTCAATTTATTTTAAATACAATTAAATTTATTTATAATTATTCAAAAATGAAAAAAACTATTAAACATCCTTCCTGTTTTGTTTTTAATCTTAAAATATTTTATTCAATTTACTTTCCTTCTCTTCAACTATTTTATAATATCCTTAATATATATGTTTATATTAATACACATTTCAATTAAAATTTATTCAGATTTTAATATTTTTTTTTTCTTTTAAGCTCTGAATTAATTAGGTTATAAATATACTAACTTAATTAAAAACATTATATGAGTTATTGCTAGGCATATATTTTGCTCGTATTTTAAAACTGCAAAGATTATGATAGATATATATTTTCTGGAAATACTAATTTCATCTTCAATAATTTATATATCAAAATAAACAAATATAAAGCAAGAAAAGTTGTATATATTAAAAAAAAAGTAAACAAATTTCATTACTTACAAGTATTGCATCACAATTGTTTTGTTTTTACAATGATTTTTTTCATTTTTGAACAAAGAGTGACCACAAAACTATAAAAATATAAATTGCATTTTGCTTTATTTTTCAAGTCAAAGTGGTTCTGTTAATGTAGAAATTTTTTGCTCTTTCTCCATCTTTTTTTTCTCACTGCAACAAAATCAATAGTTTTATATTTTAAACAATAATACATTTTAATATATCATTATCAGCATATACATTAAACATTAAAAATTACTATTTCTTTAGCTAGTCTATTTAATGAGAACTCCTGAATGAACAATCTTGGAGCAGACAAAAAGAGAAAAAAAAATTTTTTTTTTCATCGCTGACAATGCCTTAGGCTGACATTCTCCAATAGTCATTTAAATTTTCCCATAAGAAATTTTTATTTTTATGAGACTGCATTCTTTAATAAATGGTACTGCACTATCTTTGACAGTGGAGCAGAGTGGCTGATTGATAATTAAAATATAAATTAACTTATTGTTTGGCCGTTAAATTTAAATGTTAAACAGACTTAATCCAATAATCAGAATTTGACGAGATTTTATGTTTTTATGATAGGCATTTTAAATTGAATTATGAAATTTAAAGTATTGTTGAATGAAATGCTGGAAATTAAAAAAAATTAAATTATAAACTTGCAAAGGAAGCTTAATATAAGGTCCTTAAATTAATTTAACTATAGAACAATAAATTAATTAAAATATAAAATAAATTGTATTTTAAATGTTAGTTCTTTGACAAGATGATAATGAATAACATAGTGCAGTTAATTTATAATTAAATTAATTTCATTAATGACACCATAACAGAAAATTTTTAAAATTTAATGAACTGCAGTATATTCCATTTAACTCATCCAACAAACTTGTTTTTTAGTGCCAAGAGTTAAATTCTGATTTAAATTCCTGCAATAATATGGAGCTTGATACAAAGATATATATAAACATAATATCCTAAACTTTCTGAAATCTTTATCAAGTGAAAATTAATATAACGAAGACACACCCTTAAATGGCACAATGCCATTAAGTCTTTGAAAACATATCAGTAATGCAGATGAGTTTAGGATGATACCAAAAAGGAATTAGGACAGGGATATTAGTATGATTGATTTATTTTTAAAGAAATATTTTTGTAAAGCAGATAAAATAAGATAAGAAAAATTTGATATTAAGATTATTTTGAAGTTATATTGTTTGAGTTTCAAATATGTTTTCTATTATACTGATATGCTATTTGATTTATTAAATTCTATATACTTTGATGTTAATATACTTGTAGAAAAATGGGAAAGAAGAATAATATTTTAGTATTTAAATTTTAAGAATATTTTAGGAATTATATTTTCTTAATAAATTAAGAAATATGATTTATAAATTTAAGATAAAAATTCATAGATAAAATTATCTAAAGCTCAGATCATTTCTATCAAACAAGATACTTTATATATATAACCACCTCATACTTTTAATATTTTTATTATATTATTTAATAGTTTAAATAAAATTAAATCTATTTAGTCTTTCAAGGGAGAACTGCATATCATATATGCAGTTCTCCCTTTATTTTTGATATAAAGCTGTAAAGAAAGAGAGATAAACACATTAAAACAACAAACATATAAGAAATGTAGCAATTAAATTAAATTATCAACTGCATAAAATGGATTATACTTTTATATAACTTTTGATTTATTTGATTGATTAAAACTTATAAACTTAGGCTGCATAATAATGTATCCCAATTAGTGGATAGTAACCCTCTGGGGGTCATGAACCACATTCCTGGATAATATCATGGTGTTCCAGTCTGTTGCTAAAAGAGCATCGACAACAAAGACAGTTTGAAAAGCACTGTTACCTATTGAACTTTTACTGCATAAATNTATCTCTAGTTTTCAAAATACATCCTCCTACTTCTTATCGAAAATTATGTTAAAGTGGGTCAGTTCTTTAATATGTGTAAATCAGATTCAAGTCCTCTCAGAAGCGCAGAGACCCCAGTGAGTTTTTACAGGCCCCGGTATATTAAAAAAGCATTTTAAATTGTATTGTTTTTTAAACAATAAAATTATTTTTAAAATAATTTTTTCTTAATACACAATTAAGAAATACATGGAATGTGAATACAAGCAATTCGTAGCTAATGTTTTTGAGGTCTTCGCAAATGCGAAGACAGACAAATGGCTTTACTGGCCTCCCCTATTATGGAGCCTGATTAGGATATGGTTAAGATTCACAAAATACATTCTTTAAAGATACTATAGATCAGATTTTTAGAAATAAATCAATTATAGAAACTTATATTAAGTATTTATATTTTATGTTTATTTGCAAATCATGTTTTACATATATTAAAGGTGTGTCCACTTTAATATGACTTAAGATAAGGAATAGAAGAATGTATTCTGAGAACTAGAGAGATACACATTTCAAGAAAGATTAATTAAGAACTTCAACATTAAAATGGCATAAGCATTTGATCAACATTCAAAAACTAGGATCTATAAGCATCTTGTGTCTACAATACTAGATCTAATATGTAATTTTACTATATACCGTATCTTAAAATACGGATTTTACATCATAAAAATTAAAATATTACGGAACAAAGTTGAAATGTCATCCAAATATATAAACCAAATATTGATACAATCCATATTATTTATTATACGTTTAGTGTATACTCTGTGTTTATCTAATGTATTTTATTTACGTCAATTCCAAAGACTTATTAAGACTTTACCTACGTTATTTAGCAATCTTTGGAGTTTATTTATGATTAGAAACAAGCTAACGATCGTATAGTAGTCATAATCATATCGGAATTTGGCAAGAGGCCAGTGCATTGGGGTCCAACCAGCCCGTTCGAACAAAAATCAGTGTTGTAAAGCATAACATTCTGTGCTTACAGGCAATGAACTGAACAATTATTACTTTTTTATGTGCGAATTATATTAATGTTTCCGTTCTCACGAATTACAAGTTAAATATCCTCCCTGTATACTACCTTCAACGGATATTGTATAGTATAGAATGAAGTGTTTCACGCATAAGTTATTGATCTGTGTGGTGTATTATATCACACAGAAATGATTTTTCCCGTGTTTTGATATTTTACTATTTTTAGAATGATATTTACACTTAGTTAAATCGGTTGGGATATTTCTTTTGTTAAAGTGAAATGTCAATATATATGAAACATTTTTATGTCTCAAAACGTAAGAATTTATACTTAATTTCTATTAGCCAGTTGTTAGTTATCGTTAAAAATTACGCTATTTATTCATTAAATAAGTGTGTCAGTGTCTGTATTATTATTATTATTATCATCATCATTATTAAATAGCGAAATAGATAAAGATTAATATTAAATTGAATAATTTGAAGGGGAATGTCTTTATTCATTATAAATAATTCAAAAATTTCATTTTAATATCGGAATCACGCAGTTGCTAGTAGCGTGTTAGATTTTTGTGATCCATAATTAATATCACGTCATTCACTTAGAAGCATTTTCTTCTTTAAAAGAAAATTTCAAAATATTTTATCATAAGGCATATAATTTTTAATATTGCATTTCCGTTAATATTGAAGTTTTCTTATTAAGGTTAAATATCCAGCTGTTATTCTTCTTTAACAAACAAAAAAACGTGTTAAATCAAATTGGTAAATTTAGAATTATAATCACAAGTGAAGTGCTTAACAAAAGTCACCAGCAGCACCGGCCATAATTTTTAATATTTAATTTAAATAAATAGAATTAATATGCTATTATTTACGTTGCATATAATAAGTGGTTATGATGACTACGGAAGCAGTCACCATTTTTCCAATGTGTCGGTCGCGATCGCCGAAGGGTCTCAAATTGAATTGCTTTAAATAATCACTCTCAAAGTTACGAGCCACAGTAAAAAGATTTCTATTAAAAAAATACACTCAAAATTCCTACATGTTTATGAAGTTCATAACATTTTTCAGTGAGAGTTTGAGAGTTACAAAAAAAAAGAAAAAAGCCCAAGTAGTAAAGGTTGAGAAGAGCTGCATCAACATTTTATTTATGGTAGTTTAAGCT